CGCGGCGCCGCCAGCTCGACACTTGTTTCGGTCACTGGTCTTGGTTGATGGTTTCGTTTTCGTTTTACTATCTTTTGATACTTTTACATAAACGATATAGCCATGATATATTACTAATGAAAATTCAATAAGTACATTGCACACTAGGATAGTTCATGTAAACAGTTGTTACTTAAATAGTTTGGAACTCTGGCCACGTCTATATTCTTCATTAGAGTGAACTTAACTGCAGGCTATTCAATAGACTGTGAAAAAAAACTGTGAATGATTTTATGTACTTGGGGTTTGATATTTTTTTTTATTATTATAGCAAAAACTACCAATCTTTGTCATCCGCGTCATAATTCTTGAGCTAACTACTTCTGCAATGATATACCTTACGTCACAAAACTGTATTAACCCTAGATCCAGTACCTCTGCTCCAACTAGTATTATAACATTGCCGTCCAGGAATCTTTGAACATATAGTTGAACATGGATAGTACAGCCGTTTCAACAAGGATTTATTTACTATATGTTCTTAAAACTGAAATTAATTAGAAAACTATTAAAATAAATTAAATTAATTAATTTGATGTGAATTTAGCTTTAGTTAACAACACTCATACAAGTTCATAAACATAAACCAAATATTTTTTTTACTAGAAACGATTTGCAGGGTCGTCCAGATGAACTTGGAAATAGTACCATAGATAAAAGGAGTAGACATACTCTGTCATACATACATGTCTATACTCCTTTTATCCTTATATTAGTTCATTAGAAAATCTGAATATACAGTAGTGCCGTGCGTTTGAAGTACTTACTCAGAACACAGACTTACTTGAGGACAGTTACACAATAAAACGCAAAGATCTACGGAAGTAAAGACTACATTATTTAGTAAAAAAAAGAACAAGGATGCGTCAGTTAGGGCCAGTTAGACAATTGAAGTACACAGAATTGAATCACCATAGTATTGTCCATGCAACAACGTGAGAGGATAAAACATGTACTTCTTCAATTATAATTACATGTTTCTGTGTAAAACCGAAGACGTCTACAGACTTTACTAAGAAAAACTTCTCCCCGGTAACACAGGCAATGGGAATTCCTTCTAGACAAGGTTTTCAATAGGCCTACAACAAAATCATAAAACAAAAGATGTTTCTCAGGCTAAGTAGCACACTGTGCACTTCAGCAAATAAATAGTTTACCGAGATAACTATTGCTTACCAAGACAGCAGTGTCATTTAAGGAGAAATAGTACAAACTAATGTCACCAAAAGTCTAAATTCATTCTTTATTTTATTTTTTTAAGAGAGGGAAAAATAGACAACAAAGCTTTAAATAACCGGTATTATCAATTTGTATTTATCTCTCAATTGAATAAATGTAACGGTAGTTACCTCACCACTGTTCACAATATTTGACCCTCCTATTACATAAATATGTTAGTTAATTTAATATACAAACTCGTGTACATGTTGCTCAGATTCGAGCAATTTCAAAGTATTACAGAATTTATTTCAAAACGAAAAAAAGTAATATTCAATGAGTTTAAAAGAGTCAACTCAAAGATCACCAGTGTGTAACTGCTGGAGATACTCACGATGTATATACAGTAATCAACATTTCCTGTAAATATTTTATCATATTTCATAAATTGGTATTGCATTTTAATGTTTCTACAAATGTTTCCTGACTTATAGCTGCATAAGGTTGTCCATGTTTATCTTATTTATTGATAAACCTATGCATGGCACCACCCTTGTCGCCAGCAGTAAGTTTACAAATTTCAGTAATTTTTTAATAAAGATAAACACTTTTTTGATCATATTAAGGACTTCCTGTTGTCTGTAACAATTTTATTTGTTCAATCGGCGTATTTTTATTTATTTAGTTAAATAAAACATTTATTTCATTGAAGTAAACTAATATAGGCCTATTTATATTCACTGCACTGTGTATAACAAAATATCGATTGAGAAACAAACAATTACACGTAATAAAAACCTCACTAGTCCGCTGCATTGTGATAGCTGAAAATCGTCGGAATGAAAACCGCCGCTACAAGATACAGAAGTTGGTACGCCTGCAGGGCCCTCCACAGCTGCGCGCGCCGCTGGCACTGCCGCTCAACACATCCCCACCTAAAAGACGAGCAAGTGGTAAGTCGGTCGGGAGGATTGACGACAAGTTGGTTTCTCGTGTATAATAATTTAGATTTACAGGCCGGTCAACTGGACTGACGATGAAATAACTTGTCGACGTACTGGTTTTCAGTAATTATCTATTTAATTAAAAAAGACGGTCTAGTGGCAAGACGACCAAGTATCTTGTCGGTCAACTGGTGGCCCCCCGTAAAAACGCTCTTACTCTAGGAGGATTAAACATTAGGGTGGGTCACGCTCGAGTTTCGTTGAAGCCAGCCAGCCGGCCGCGCGCCGTAGCTTGGCGGGAGGGGGTATTGTGTTCAGAAACATAACATAATAATAACATTTAACCGAACCAGCTATACTCAGAGTTTATTTGATATTTCTCAACATAAACCCTCAAAATATGGCTTGATATGATATTAAAAAATCTAAAATTCAATGGACAAGAAAATGTTTTACTTTTTATATTCGTAATTTAATTTGAACGGCTGTGAGTGTAATAAAAGCGAAGCACTTTGAATTTGTTCTTGACTTCGGCTATTTCAAATTACTTGCCTAGCACAAAAATGCCTTAAAACTAGCATAAAATGGGATTAAAATTTTAAGAAAATAATTAGGAATGCTAATTTAATGTTTATTTCACAATTAAAATTGCATTTTTATTTAAAACCCAAACTTAATAAACTTGTTGAAAAGCTGTAAAAATGAAAAAAAGTTAATACGTTTCTTAGTTTTAATACTCCGATTAAATATTGGTAAATATATTATTTTTATTTCGAGAAACTCTTTGGGAACACGAATAAATTGATTATTTGTAAAGATACATTATATTTATTTCAAAATCGTAATTTAAGTAATCACTAGTGGCTTGTAGGGACATAAGTCCCTAAAAAGCTCAATAATATAAAACAAATTATTCTAATATTCAAACAAACTAAGAAATATATTATCTATGTGTCAGAATAGATATCCTTGTACGCCACATCTTTTGTGTAAAAAACAGTTTGTTGTTTGTCTTGTTTGTCTTTGTTGATGTTATTTTCAGTAAATCATTTGAATCACTACATATAGGTATAACTCTGCTAAAGTCAGCAAACATATAATTGTTTGTGAAATAAATACTGGTTTACTAAGGTAGATTTGGTCTTGTGGTTAATGGTAATAAAAAGAAACTTCCCTGATTGGAATTTTGGAAATTGTCTTTGTCAAATATGAAAAGGCAAATAAAGGTGTATTGAGGTAAGCATAGTTCTTGGACAAACCCGCTAGCATTCCTACCCAGTTAATATTTCTAAGTTTATACTACTTTTGTTAAGGTTTAACAACATTAGTGTAAAGTAAAGGCATCCCATTGACCAAACTTAACTTTAGATTTTTTTTCAACAAAAAAACTATAGTGTAAGTTTATGTTGTGGTATTCCTCTTAAAGGTGCGATTGATGTTACATATTCTACCAAATTAGTCCTAATCAGCGGCTGATTCTTAACTCTTTGCGAGCAACAGACAGTATCTGTTTAAAATCTCCAAACAATATTGTTTTTCCTCCCATTGGAACTTTGTCTTGAACTTTTGATTAACAAATATAGATGAAATGTAGAATAAATCTAGAACATATGTTTTGAAATAAAAACAAAGCAGAAGTCTCCATTTAATCTTGAATCGTTATTAAATTTAGTCAATGTAGTGTAGTTAATGTGGTTATTTCATGTTACAGTAAACGTTAAAAATACACAAATTTAAAAAGTTTCACGGTATAATAATTCATTTCCACGTTCTATAACGTAAGTAACTAAATATTCTCAATTATTATAGGTAACGTTATCCTGGTTTTATATAGTACTTTGCATAATTGACTGGCAAATAAGTAATCCAAGTGTTAACATTGCGTACTGGCTTGATGTTAATATCACGATCAGCTGTATTGAAGTAAACGAAAATTAGCTGTAAATGGCTTCTAATGCTATTCTTATGGAGAACATTTTACGTTATATCTCATTTTCTGGTAACTTTATGGGAATTCTGCTATTTTTCCCGAGTCCCTGGGGTCAAGACCTTTAATTTAAGACCCCTCCCACTTTTCTGCGACTTACCAGACGTCCAAAGTTTTCTGGTAAAAATTTTGTCTTACAGAATTATATATAAGGATATGTTCAAAGTCAAAGACAATTAATTCAACTTTGATCTTCAATAGTAAATAATAAATAATACTCTTCATAGGAATGATTCACACCATTCGATAGGAAATCTAATTTACTTTAAGAATGCCATTGCTGAATAACACAAGTGTTTTAGTTTAGCAGCAATTTTAATTCGAAACAGCACACGTCACGTTTTTTCCAATCTCTCCCATGTTATAGCTACGGCTTTTTGCCACTCTAGTGTTCTGCTAAAGCTGGCTTCACCGCAACACGTATATTCATATTCGCGTGCCGTGCTCTCTCCTTAATGTTTAATCCTCCTAGCTCTTACTACACTTGTAATGTAAATAGCAATTACGCCTTTAAAGAGTAAATACAAGAGTATGCTACCCAAGCAACATTAGGATTAAGGAATTTTTCATCTATATGATATGACTAATTTCATAAGAGAGAAATTGTTGCTTTTTAAAATCCAAATCATGGCAATAACTTATTTTATTGATGTGGTCTTACAGTAGTACAATTCAGACTTCAATAATCCAGCTTGATCCCATCCCTCAAAAACATCTTAGTTGAAAGTAAACCTACGAAGCCAGTTCTTTATTGTACTTTACACGTATGAAACTACATGTATTACCGTACTTGATATAGGATTTTCTTGAAAGCGTTCTGAATAAATATAAAAAAGTTTTCAAGAATAAATTGTACATTTGCATGTTTTCAGTGTTCCTATTGTATTGGTTGGGAACAAAACAGATTTGCACATGGAGAGAATGATCAGCAGTGAAGAAGGTAAACGATTAGCAGAATCATGGAAAGCGGCTTTCATTGAGGCTTCAGCTAAGCAAAATGAGGTATGGCAATATCATTTTTCTTTGATCCTTATAAATGACAAGATTTTGGTCTTAAATCAAGTAAAAATAAGTATAACTGATTTCAGACACTGATAAGAGTACTGGCTGAGAGGTTATCAGAAAAATCGGGCAAGCCTTACAGTCTGGTTGTTAATTGGATTAGAGTGAGATTGACTTGCCCGTTTTTAAGAGCGACGAGCATGTGCTTATGAATGTCGAGAAAAACATGGAGATCTGCTCGTGAATTTGAAGATAGAGCAACAATATCATCTCCCGCAATAACGTCTTAATTGTAATAATCTCTTGCGGTCACGGACACTATCATAATCTCATCTCCTGTTAAGCTGCAAAACGTGTAGGGAGGTTGTTCTTTGGTTTGGCAAACTTTCTCCAAAATAGGTTTTGAAAAGTAAATATTAATACCTTGAATGGTTACTCAGTTTTTTTTCTGATTGGAATAAAGTTCACTTGGGAGTTCCTCAAGGTTCAAAGGTAGGGCCATTATAGTTATTAGTTAATGTTTCAAATGTAAATTCAGATTTCATTTTATTTGCAGACGACACAACAGCAACAGTAAAAGGTAAAGACAAAAATGAATAGGCGCTTGGTTTCTCTTCATCTGTCCAAAACATCAGTTTCTGGTTGAGCAAGAATGGTCTTAACTAAAATCATGTTAAGACTTTTATTAGCATTTTCTGCTTCATCAAACCGGCCCTAAAAAATTAAATTTTACAATTCCGAACTCCAACATTGACCTTACTGTCTGTAAATCAGTAGATTTTCTGATGCTTATTAAAATTTAAGATAATTTTAAATGGAATAACCATTGTAACCATTTATATGATAAATTGGATAAAGGTATATTTAATCTCCGAATTCTTCTAATAATTTGTGATGACCAAACAGTGATATTAGTATACCATGGTTATTTCTTAAATATTATGTCATGCATTTTGTTAAAAATGTCTGGTGGGAATTCTTATGTACTGATGGGAAAATATGAGAATTGTACAATATTAATTTGTAAGAGTAATTTTTTTTGGAAGATTCCACCTCTTTTATAATAATAGTGTCGATAACAATTACTTCAGATATAGTTAATTTGATTGTTTTTATTTCAGTCTGTTGCTGATATTTTCCACACCTTGCTTCTAGAGATTGAGAAAGCTAATGGGAACATGCAAGAAAGTTCAAAATGCTCCATTTCTTGAATTGGTGCCAATATCACAACTTTGTACCATTCATTTCGGAAATGCCTCTGAGTTAGTGCAAAAAGCCTGTTTCGGAATAAATTCAATCTAAAACTTCTGTGTAACATTGGTGTTAATTATCATAGGTTAAAATTGTTGTACAGTCATGTAATTATTGTTGATTTGTGTTGAAAATATTGTACTCTTTTAAATGTGAACAATATATAGGCTATTTTTGCTAGTTGTTGAATTAGTCTTTAGAATAGGTTAAGATTTTTTATGTACATTGTGTGTAATTTAAACACTTACATATTTGTAAATATATTAACAGGATGATCTTGTGTATATTTGGGTGCATTATTAATCATTTAATGTTATGCTTTAATCTAAAAAGGTATAAACATCGGGTTATCGTAACTGTTTTCAATATTTTTATTGTATTTCTTAATGAAGGCATGTTTTGAATTTCTTTTGTATTATAATTCTAAAATAAACTTAATAGCACAGATGGAGAGTTGTAATTTAAACCCTAAAGTCTAACATAAAACCCCACAGTCTACATAAAACTGTTGTTAATTTAATTTTTTTTTACTGTAAAAGGTTTTTTGACCAGAGAGTTTTTAACTTTTTGCTACAGTAAAATAGTAGATAAACTAAAATACTGATCCACTTTACCTTTATCGTCACATCGGCAGATCCAGTCAGTTGAAAGTAAGTGGGATAGGACAGTTTAGTGTTTTGAGATAATTTCTTGAGTATAGGATCCTGCTGGGGAAATTGTTTACACACCTGTAAACATGCCTTTTAATGCAATCTGGAGGCATAAAAACCATCAGACAAGATTATTCAGTGTTGCAGATTGGGTGTAATAAATATACAAAGGCTACTTACAGTCTTTGCAATTCTGATTATATGAGCACTTCGGCCGTTTCGGAGATAACTTTATCGTCAGGTGCATAGTCATACACTAAACTGAACTATTTACATTTTTTACCATGTTTCATTTCCATTGCGTCAAAGTTTAATAAAATAATACATGCAACTCAAGACACGGACACAACACAAAAACATTAAGGCACGTGCACAGACTGATCAAACCTTATCACTGCAAAGGTTGGGTGGACGACTGGAACAACTGGTTACTTGTGTACCAACATAGCTGCTCAAATTAAACCTTGCCCTGTTTGATTTGTATGATTTTCTCAAAATTTGGATTGGCTGAATTAGTCTGGGAATTACTAATTAAGTTGGGTTCTTTAGCTGTGTAGATGTAGAAATTTTCAATAAAGTTAAGTTTGTCACCTTAGCTGCCAATATGGAGTATTTCTAAACTAATGATTTCAGAATAGTCGAAGCAATACTGTTGAATATGTTCTGCATAATTTGGTTTCTTTATAACGCTTATGTGTTCTTTATACCTGGCTTTAAACATCTACCAGTCTGTCCGAGATAGTAGGAATTGCATGCTCCACACTTAAGCTTATACACACCTGACTTCTCTAGTATAGGCGATTCCTTTGTCGTGAAGCTGACAGCTCACGTTGGAGGTTGTTGCTAGTTCTGTATGCAACTGAATAGTTGTGCCTACTAAAAGAACGATTTGCTAGACGTTGGTTGAGTTTACATAACTTATGTCACGTATTTGTATCAGTTTTATCTTTGGCGATTTTATTATTAGTTTCCCTCTTAATTCTACTGTGCAGTTTATCAATCATTGTCAGAGCTGTAACCGTTATTCAAGGCAATGTGTTTTATTGTGTTTATTTCATCTCTATAATTTTCTTCACTTAGAGGTATATTAATCAATCAGTAGAGAAAGTCATTGTGGAACTATTTTGACCGGTTGCAAAACTGAACGATTTGGGTCTTTTGAGCGTTCAAGATTCATTTTCTTCACACCACTGACGAAGAGAGTTTAATTCCAGAAAGGTGACAAGTTCCAGTTCCTCCGTACTAGGTCTAGACACAGGGAAGTGTTGTCCCGGAATAGGCATACATTTTCCTCATTTATGCTAGATGGTAGTTCATTAATGAACAAAAGGAAGAGGATCGGTCCTGGACGGACCCCTGTGACACACCCCTCCTCACCACAGCCTCAGAAGAGACCGTAATTGTCCTGAGTAATCAACTGCAGGTATGGTTACTGGCTGACTGCTTTACCTTCAAGATAGGAAAAAACCAGTCGAGAGCTGTTCTTCTAATGCCCATGTTCCCCCATAATTTTTATCGAATTTGGAAAATACATTCATTTCTTACTAAACTATTAACATAAAAAACCACCTTTTTACCATCCCTGTTGCAGCAAACCTAAGTACTCGTTAAACTAATTATATTTAAATAGGGAATAAAATAAATGTAATATTTTAAAGGAGGCATTATAAATCCTATCAGGCTAATGGAAATTCGCTTAGTCTGCAGGTTTGCTGCGTCGGGGGTATATTTCCTCGTTAATGTTTTTGATCCAACTGCGAAATACATTAATTTTGGTGCCTATAACTACAGTACTACTTTTTCTTCTAGTTTTCTTGGAGTGCTTCTTCTATGACTAGGTTGAATAAAATTGGTGATAGCCCATCCCCTTCTCTTAGTCCCGTAGTTGTTTTAAATTCACCGCTATATTCGTTTTCCATTTCCACTTTATTCTTGTATCTGTACAACATAATTTAATTAGTTGGATAACTTATTGAGTATTCCTAACTTTTGTAAAGACATTGTTAACGCCTTTCTTTCTTTCAACTATTTAATATTTCAATATAAAATGTTTATACTCTTCTTAAATAGTTACCAACCACAATGAAAAGATGGAGTGAAATTAAGACACTCTGTGGACAGGCCTTTTATAAGGCTTATGCAGTTCAATGTTTTTTTTTCTTAAGTCGCTAGGCACGAGCCCCAAATTGTTTTTGACATTACTTCAGGCTAGACCTAGGGTTTGCTGGATTTTTTACTTAGATAAATCCTTTGGTGAATTGGCGGGATTTAAACACGGGACCTCAGGGACCGAAGTCCTGCGCTCTACCACTAGACAAGCTCACTCCTCCATGCAGCTAAGTGTTATATTAATACTTTTCAATGAAATAGCGACGATACAAAGTAGGTATTTTAAGCCAAGTATGAATGGAGATGAGTGTAGGGTGAGTGGCACGATCTTGTACTCCTTAGACACAGCTGTTAATTAATAGCCAATACAGCTAATGACAACTAAGGGACCTACAGTTTGTAATGGAATTTGAACCACATTTTTGCCTTGGTATTAACGAATTAGTCTAATTGTCAGGATAGTACTGCAGATAGTCGTAGTACTCACTAGTGCGGACGTTAATCCCAACGATCACATAAGACCAATAGATGGAGCACGCCTATCTAACTAACATTAAAGCAGGTCATTCAAAGCAGGCATTGAAGCCAGGTCTGCCATCTTACTTTAGTTTAGAAGCGCTAGATGTCAATGAAAACTGCACCAAAACTCAATGTTCCGCTTCAAAATAACTCAAAATTTAGCCTACTTGGACTAAAGTTATATGGTTGAAACTTCGTATGAGTGAAGTCAATAAGTCTATGACACTATTGGTTCTAATAAAAAGCTTAAGAGTTAATATTTTCTATTTTAAATCTCCAAATAAAGTCGGTACTTTTAAATGAGTGTTTTTATATGTGAGTGTTACGGTACATTTTAAATATGACATGATGTATTCACCGACAAGTTCGTCGGCTCCTACTTTTGTTATTACTTTTAGTTATTGGTCAGGAAAGTTAAAAAACAGTGGATTTTGTAGCTAGAGTTGAATTTTTTTGATCATATTTTTTTAATTTTCTAGCTTGTGTAGTTTGGTTGTAATTTAAATTGTACTATAGGGGCTACCCACCGCGCTGCGTTACGTCATGTGGGCAGATTCTGCCTGCAACCTCACTTACAATACAGTTTAGATACTCAAGTTTGGAGCTATACAGAAAAGTTACTAAACTTAAACTAATTAGAAAAACACGGATTACATATAAATATTCTCGCTTGGTGAAACTGCAAGGATCGTGTCAGGATGCTTAAAACCAACCCCAGTAGACAGTATATACCCTCTCATTGGGGTAGCTCCACCATATACAGTATAAGGAGAAACGTGGCAGCCGCAGTAGAACGACAGAAGCAAGTGACCGACCACCGTCATCCACTATATGGGCATCAACAGCAGCCCTTTAGACTCCGGTCAAGAAAGAGTTTTCTCAAAACCACTGAGATACATTCAGTAACACCGGAAGTATTAAGGCTTCGGCTATGGAGGCAGGAGGCTCAACAGCCACCAGTACAACTCAGAGAGGAACTCCCTGCAGGCTGTCACCTGCCCTACCCCACATGGAGGACCCTAAATAGATTGCGAAGTGGGGTCTCGAGGTGCAAAGTAAACCTCATGAGGTGGGGGTACTATGAAGGAGAACCAAACTGCACATGTGGGGCCCCTCAGGACCATGAACATCTACTAGTTTGTCCAGATATGGACAGAACATGCTCCTGGCTCGATCTTAAGGAGGCAAATGACGAAGCCATATATGTGGCAGATTATTGGAAAAATAATATCTAACTGAGCTGGTGTTTTTTTTTTCCGGACACGGAAAGTAAAGTAGGTAAGTATATAAATATTCCTCGTTTTATTCTTTGTATTCATCTAAAAATTAATATTTTTTAGCTCTTTCATTAGAATTAATATGACAGTCAGAATATAAAGGAGAGTTGTATAAAGAGTTTCAGAAACTATCTTGTGACTTAGAAAATTCATACATTGTAAACCATACATCAGAACTTTCTTTATCAAATTTTAATGCAATGTAGATACATATAAATATATTTGTAGCTTTTCAGAATTTTCCTTTTACCCAAAAAGTTTTTGTTGTTAATTATGTATTGTAAACTAACTTTTTCTAAGAAATGGTAAACGCTAGAAAAAATCAAAAGCGTATTTTGAAGGTCATTGTGTTAGTAACAGAAATTTTTGTATTACAAAGGCGTTTGTCACAACATTTAATTAGTTGCGCACGCTATTAGGGCTCATCACAGCCGGCAGCCGCCATCTTAGTTAAGATTAGTGAAAAATACTGGCTTCACGTCGCGGCCAACATGCTCCATCTATTGGTCTTATGGGATCTTTGGTTAATCCTCACCAGATAGTATTCCATCCACAGTGCATGCCTATAAATATCCACAATTCATGACCTCCTAGTAGCTGGATTACAGGACGACACCACCGTCCCAGTCATAATATAACATTCATAATAATGACCAGATCACAACAACTCTCTAGCCAATTGAGGAACAAATATGGGGAAAATAAAACACAGAATTGAATGTTAACATTACCCACCTATATTGAAATGCTTAGTACAGAAAGGTCACTTTATATAACAAAACAAGTCTGTGTAAACAATCAGCAAATTATTAACTTATTGATTGCACCTTTATTAGCAAGATTAAGTAATTAATATTCACTTATTTAAAATCAATCAACACCGATACATCGATACAGCTAAATTATGTTATGTAGTATGAAAACAAACAGGAAACTTATTTCGGGTATATTTACTTCAATATTGCTTGTATCTCAATTGAACTACAAAAAATCTAAATTACATAAACTTTGTTAACATAAAATATCTTTTACCTCATAAATATAACAATAAATCCATTTGAGCATAACATAATTAGATCTGTTGAACATGAGCTAACCACAAATACAGTACACAAAGGATAAGTTGACCACATCGATGACGTCAACACACTGGGTAAAAAGAGGAACTGTCTAAAACCTCTGTCACAGTATTACACTCATGAAACAAAAAGAGATACAACATTTACATTATTGGTCCAAGATAAAGTTACAAGGTATTCTGGCCAACAAATTAGCGTATCAAAATACTCGTTGCATACACTGATATGTGAGTTGTGCTGAATGGATCGATTGTCAAAGGTAATGCATATATCTGTCCTCCTCACTCACTTTGTACTATACACTATCGTAGGAAAACTTATTTTACAACTAATGTTGAATCAAAGGCACAGAATATACTAGGTACAAAGAATTAATAAAATATATTATATTAAATTTTACCAAAATTAGTATCACTTTGGATAAAAGAAATTTATAAAATGTTGTAGGCTAATAAATCTGACAATGTGAAAAATATACTACTTTTCGATGTAATGAATCATATTCTAATAGCTTTGGTTTGTTTTAGATATAAAAAATGCTACTAATAATTTAAATTAAGTAGTTTTGATTTGTAATAAAGTTATTTGTTTTCTAAATTTTATTTTAATTGAGCCAACAAATAAAATGGCAATATTTATTTAAAGAGGGCTAATGAAGTACTTAGAACTTAGGCACATTGAAAAAATGTATTGAGAACCAACAGACACAATTTACTAGGTTAAGTATATTACAAACCTTTGTAGTGTTTAAGAAAAATTCTTCCTACCATATATATATATATAAATATAAAAAAACAAACATAAAAAAACGTTCGTCCTTTGGAGGTCAACATGCCTACTACTTTTCACCAAATCCCTCAAGCCCCCTAGTTAACATTATTATAGAATGCTGATCCGTTTGACCATAAACAAGTTGCACACGTTAATCGTCACTGTGGGATTAAATAGCTTCATTTTGACTTGTTTAGGCAATCACAAAATGATTAGGTATATAAAGTAAACATTTTCAACAATACTTCAGTCAATATAAAACAAGATTGTAATGCAAATTCAAATGGTTTTCCTGGTTGAAATGGCAGAATAAGAACCCTCATAATTTCAATTTTGTATAACTCTTGTCAGGCCAGCCAGTTACAAAAATGTAATTTTCCAGGGCCTAGGTGTGCATTATACGATTTAATATTTAAAATTATAGGCTACTTTAAATCAACATTAAAATACTATTTCTCTCTTGCATCTTATAGAAAACCCTTTGAATAGTGTCTCACTAATCTCAAGCACATTGTATAAATACTTTTAATTTACGGCGTGTATTAGGTAATGTGGAAGAAATATGGTCCGTCTGAATTTATCTAAAGATTATGATTGTGCCTGCGTCTAAGAATTTTCGGGTGTATTTATATACTGGGAGTTGACAGATGAGCCGAGGAGAGATTTATATAGATTGTATGTGTATTAAGCAGATGTGTGTTCTGTGATGTCCTAGTGTATGTCTCAATATGAGTAAATCACAGTGTATAGATGTGTCAGTGACAAAACTTGTCATCCCCATATCTACAGGTTATGTTATAAGCCAACAAAAGTCTAACAATGAAGTCGAGTCTTATACCTTGCACCTCACACTTTACCTGAGAGTAAAAAACAAGGCCACACATTTAGGGCAGATATATGCATTTGCAGATACATAAGCACAACTATTAAACAAATACACGTTAACATTTGGGATGTTAATTCCGTGCGGACACAATTCCAAAATACTTCTTAGATAAATACATAATTAACACTTTAGAGGTTAATGAAAACTTACTCAAAAGTGTTTTCCAATGACTGTTTAATTAGGTTTGATTCAAATACTGTTTCCACCACAGACCACAACCATTGTTTTATGTAGTATCAAAACTCCTGTATTGTTAACTAACTTTTTGTACATTTTGAGCAAAATAATTTCTTTTAGCAACTTATCAAATAATTGACATCATAAAAAATATAAAATATATAGAATTAATATGATAATTAATAACTTTGAGTGGAGAGTTAAGTATAAGTAGTTTTACTTTTAACAAAACCTCCATTGAACTATTCTGACAAAAAATTGGTAACATTCACAATTTGTTTATAGTCCACACTTTGTTTTATTTTTCAAATTATTCTTAAAATTGTATTAACTAAAAAAAACATTTCACCACTCACTATGCTGATACTATTAGAAATGTAGAATATATAGGTTTAATTCAATGTCTTAAGTTTATTCAGTTAAATAATTCATGATCCATTAAAATATATTGAAAGATTTGCTTAGCTTAAAAAAAGAGTAAAAAAATACGTGTAGCAGTGTCACAATATTACATACTAACAGTTCATTTTAAAGATAAAGAAAATAGCCCTAGATTCTCAAATAGTATACATGAAGATTACTAACTAATGAACAAATGTTTGCCAAATTAAATATTTAATAACAAGAACCAAAGCAAATTTGTTAAAAATAAAGTTTCTATACCTAAATGTCCTCCCATCATTTGATAAGCCTAGTTGTTCTGATCAAGATTTTGTTCTTTGTCTTTACATAAACTAAACATTTAAGCTTAAACTTGGACATGTTCTTAGTAACTCTAAATCAGAATAGTACTACAGAAATAATTAAAGAAATCCTTTAAGTTTTTTCAGATATAATTTTTGTTAGCGAGTCAATATGGAAAGCAAGAAAGTATACAGAAATAACCGTATCAGGTTTTTTAAACATTGAATAAGAGTACCAAAACATATTAGCCCTAGTTAAAATTAAATTGAACTTTTATAATAAAACAACTATAACAGACTCTAGTTAAACCAAACCATAGTTCAAAAACTTCAAGTATTGTTTAAAAAACTCTTATTAAAAGCTAAGTTGAAATATCTATTTGAATAGAAGAAAAAGTATTATATTAATATATAGAAATATAGTTGGAGGAATCTAAAATTTAAGGAAACCCGTCTAATCTAGAACGTATGACAAGTGATTGATTGCCTTGAAATGGTGTTAAAACAGTGGCAAGAGATCAGTGAGCTAGTCTACGAAACTTAAGGAAGATCATCACAGAGACTTGGTGTTACGCTAGCAGTCCGCACATTTAACATCCCAACTCAAAAATACAAACTCTTATACAAATTTGATTCAAGGATAAGCTCTTATGTAAACCTAAACAGTAAACACACTGGAGACTACATGCGAGAGTGCTGTAGTCTGGCAGGATGACGTGAGCGTACTTCAACAGTATATGGTCCGATGGCACTACACTACACTATCGAGTACATATTATCACCCACAATTAAATATTAAAATTCTACCACAGCCCGATCAAATAGTAATTGGTATTTTCGTACACATCCTTTGTAAATAAATAAGATTGTGCGAGTGCAAAATATGATACAGACGGATTTAGAAATATCATTGCAGTTTGTCGGGAAACGTGTGTCTGTAGTAGCCATTGATATTGTAGCGAAAAGGGGTACACAAACCATGTCTAAAACACGTAAACAGTCACACAAGTATCGATTATACAATAATCCAAAAATACATTCAGGCTTTTCTTAGCATACTGCTTCATTCTCAATATTAAAACAAGTCTATTGAACTGCAATGAATTTTCAAAAAGCTTAGATTACGTTTAGTTAAACAAAAGCACACCTTTAATAATGAAAATATATATCCCTAATACTAAACCAACTAAGAAAGAGATTTAACATAAATAAAAGTTTAACACATAACAAAATTAATGTTAAATTCGAAACACATAACAATAAATTAGGACTATATGGTGAAAAGCTACCGAGTACCCGATGACTAAAAACTTTTAACCTCCATTATGATATGCATAAAATATAAAATATGTACAGTAAAGAAAAGAAATTCTCCGTTACAAATATTCCATAGAAGTATAGTTTTGATTATTAACAGAATATTTTCCACTGTCTACATTGAAACATTTTGTAATTCTTGCATTATTAAATTAAAATGTTAGAAGGTACGGTAATGTAAAGATTGTAGTTGACATTTTGAACTTGCTGTCAAATTCAACTCAATTTAAATTAAATGTACGGTATAAAATTTTAAAATTTCCCTGCCAAAAAAGTGATCAAGGGAAAACAATCTGGGTTAAACAAAAAAAGCTAAATTGTTGTAGATTTTAATTTTTTCAAACCTTTGCAATTTTGTTTTAATTTTAATCCTGCAAACTTGCACTAAGGTTGAAGTAAAACACCGAGAAGAAAATTCAAAGGCCCGACACACACTAGATATAGACACAAAACAATCTCAAACAAAAACCATGATTAAAATAATATACGAGATTCAAACATAAAATCACTAGTATAGGAATTTCTCCATGAAATGTTAAAAATTTAAAGTTTTAAAATGTTCACATCAAAATGTTTCAAACACAGATAATTGTCTTAAGTACAACATTATTTTGTGATAACCATATATACTAATAAACTAGACAATACTAAACTCTCATGACGAGACAGTACAATAATGCATTTGAAATTGCATTCTATACCCAACACAGAGGCACGACACTTTGGCAGTTGAATAAAAAACAAAGAGAAAAGCCTCAAAGCTGGGCTACGGTAACTACATTCTAACAGATAAATAATACAACTCGCATGTTTTAGAATAATTTTAACACCACCAGTCTAAGAGATATCTAAATGTCTCACTATTTGGTATTTAAAAGATGCCAGTGGAAGCATTGCACATGTACTTAATACTACAATAGGACAACAATATAACAATCAAGCTAGTGTTCAACAAACAGTTAACAACCAGCGGACGTTCATTCTCGACATCTCTGGGTAACGAGAGATAGTGAAGGTTCGATGCTCTAGAATAGTCAAACATGGCTAAGAAAAGGAAAACTAATACTGTATACCGATATTCATTAACAGACACTTTCATTATTATTTCATAATTATAGATGAAATCAGATTTTTTTAAAACTTTTTATGTTTTATTTCAGATGGACAATCACACAAATGATAAATAGATATCAGCTGTAGGCTACAAATAGTTACAAGACTGGAAAGGTTTCATTAAAAAAGATGGGAAAATATGACAAGTTTGAATCTTTTATGTATAAAAAACAGTAAGAATAATAACGTTATTTTAGTTGATTAAAACAAAACACAATCAAAATAGTACTATCATTGCCTTGGTCCAGAGGATTCAAATCAGAATGAATGAATATAACATTTGTTATGATAACATAAAAATATGGATATAAAATTTTACAATAATGCGGACACCCACTTTTTTCTAAGAATTGATTTCACTCAGATTGATGGGAGACTGTTGAGCAAATGTCGGAGCGAGATGTCGAGAACTAGGCCCGAGTCTAAACACACAACAAAGAGAGCCTTGTGCTAGAGAGTCAGTACTCGGACTCCACAATTAGAATATTACATCAGGACCATTCTGGACCTCACTAATATCACATGCATATTTAAAATAGGATTGTCTAACAGCTAGCGATACGATATACTGTAAAAATCGATGTTAAAGAAGTAGTACGTGAATCTATCACAATGTTACTATACATCTACTATTGCAATGCGAACATCATAGGCCTACACTGTATATTTCTAGAAGCCACAAAGTACACTAAATCAGTCATTTGGTTTTATTATAAAGGATTAAGTTTTGGTACCATTCCACAACACAGATAAAATAGCTGGCGACCGCACCAAGTCAACATATAACGCAGATTGGGATTCACAACATCAACAACGGAAAGATATTACGATTATGGACGAGTGATTAATCATTAACACTTATACTATTATTATAATTTTTCTAAACTAAATTGTAATTATATTTAGTTTTTTATAATGTTCATAGGTAAGTGATAACATTGTTAACAGTTTTAGTCAGTGTTATAGTCTCAAATAAACTATTTTATTAAAAAAGAGTATTATTAAGTATTAATTATTACCGTATAGTCCCAACTTATCTGAGATTTAAATTTATTTTTAGATTTTTTCTAGCACATACATTTTTATTATTAAAAATCATATCAAGAATAATAATTCACGGATGATATTTATTTTTCCAAATTCCTCTCCTTAAACAGTTTATTTTTAATGCCGAACAAAATCACTCCATGAAAATGTGTACCGGACATTTAAGTTGATTTCATCAGAGTTGACATTAAAAAGCAATATGAAATGAGACAGTTAATTATACTAAACATGTATACAAACATTGAATATTCTCTAAATTGACCTTTGTCTTTGTTAAGTTGTGCAATAAAAGCTCAGTTTTATACAAAACGTAAACTTGATACAAATGTGTTTTGAAGTTTTAATCATTTTATACTGTCAAGATGTTGAATTATTTGTAACAAGTATGTTGTTGAAGAACCTAGAAACAACCATTATGCTTATGGGTACAAATGTAGCAATATTATTGTAATAGACATATACAGATTTGCTCTTTCAAGAACAAAAGTACAAGTAGGGAATGATAGAGGTTTATTTTACTTAATTAACTAAATAAATTGGGTTTAGAGTGTCACTTCAATAATTAAATTACTTATGAAAATACTGAATTATATTTAAAATAGCTTAATGCAATGTTTTTGGTTGGGCGCTTTAGCAACTTTAAGTTGAAATATGTACCTACAATAAAAATGCAAAGCCTGGTTAATTAAATAGGTTACAGTGAAGTAAACTGTCTTTATGCGGATTGTGTTGCTAAATGAGTGATGTTGACTTGGGGCCACAGCAAAAAAGAAAAGGTAGAATGTTGAGCATTACGTTTATACCCAGTGGGGCGAGCAATAATAATACCCCAAGAGGTATTTGATTTGAAAATATTACTAAGAATAAAATAAATACTTCAACCTATAAAATAATCAGTGATTTACAACCAACAGAGATTCTCAATTGCTAAAATTAAATAAAAGCATTTAAAGCGATGAAAACCAAATCTAGTAGTTCTTCCTACTATAACAAAAAACTAAACAATACAACTACTCACATCAGATAGCTTTGTGAAAAATAAAAACTACAGTGGAACTAAAATTAAAAACGAATACTGCACTTTACGAGAATAAATAAATACTTTTATAACAACTATAAAACTATTAATAGAGAGGAAAATGCATCAGTCATAAAAATATAAGTAAGGACTTCTCTAAACTCGTTTTCAAACAACCCTGATAATAGGACCATTGGCCGAAAACCGACCGGTGAATAGAAACATTTAGCGGACAAGTACACATCATTATTGCTTACACTCATCATGAGTTCGATGCCAACAAATGAAAAACTAATCTAATCTATGAACATCGTACTATCTATCAAAGACTATTCTACCCACTGAAAAATTGTCATTTACTCGAGGGCATGATTGCATATTAAAATATGAAAATACAAAAAACAAAACAATACAAGGATATTTTGTGAATAAGATTATAGAAAGGAATTAATTGTTAGTTGGTGAGCAATGTTTACTTGGAGGTTCTAGCGGCTGAATTAGTGGAGATGTCGTCAGGCAGGGTCATATTGAGGGCTGCGTACATGCCTGAGCGAGCCTTGCGTGTCTTGCAAATAAGTTCCTTGATGCTTGCAGCTAGTGCGGCCATGTCTGCAACCGGCAACCAGACACAATTATTACCAGATCTGGCTACGAGGTAATTACAAAGTGTGGCTATAAAATAATGAAATCTTCCAAGAGACAAACTGCATGAGCCTCCAGGCTAAATGTCAAATTACCAAGTCACCTTTTATGCTACCTTCACATTTCGGCCTGTTCGAGGACACAATGTCTCTTAGTTCGACCATAGTCTAGATTTGTGTCCGCTGTGTATTTACCAGTCTTTGGAAAACTGATGATGTCATTTCAGCAACTTGCATGCTAGTTTTTGTTTTTAACCTACATTAAACCCTTAGATATACATTTTTTTATTTTATTTAAATTATGTACCTTTCTCATCTGGAGGAAGAGCTCGTGATGGTGGATACGGGTGATGGTTGCGCCTGTTGCCGCTGTTGAGGATCTCCTCTCTGCGACAAGCCTGCACCCTACGAATAGCGTCCAGCCAGTTCTGCATGTTGATACTTATATTGTTCGGTAATCGGTCTCCTCGTAAGTTCTCCATCTTTGCGACCAGTGTTATCACCCTGGCGTGTTCTCGTAACATGTCAACAATCAGACGATCCACCCTGGTAGGGTTCATCGGTAAGCGAGGCACCGGGATGTTATTTGCAGAGGATACCTTTTTCCCAGGATTGTTACGGGCTAAATCTGCTTCAGTCTTCTTGCGTTCTTTTTCCAACCGTTTGAACTCATCGTAGCAGAGCTCAAGGAATCCATGGAGCTCACTTGCAGGACCACTCCGTCTACAAAAAGATAATATATTTTTAAGAACTTGTATACACCAAATTAGAGATGTAATGCTGTGGGTTGTATCAAAGAAAAATGTTATAGTCCTTAAAAGACAATTAACAAATATTTGGTCTGTTTATAGAATTTCCTCTTATTGAGAGGCAAGATATTAATTAGGGGTGTGGGATGCATCAAAATTCTGATTCAATTCAGTGGTGGTCAAACAACGATTTGATTCATGTGGGAATCAGTATCCATATACGAAAAACGCCTGCAGAAAATCAATGCAATACCTGCAATACAAGAGCGTGTTTCCTTTTTTGAAGGCGTTCTTATTTAATTAACTCTTCGCATGTAAATATTGCTTTAATTGTTTTAATTTTTTAAATAACTTCTTGATCAGCATTGTACGTGTTATTAAATTTATGGAAAGTAAATAAAAGAAACGTCTTATAACACTTAAAATAACTATATTTTAAGTGTTGACGTTTCTTTTATTTACTTTCCGTTTAATTTTTTGTTTTGACATTGCAAATGATTAGAAGTTTTGTTAAGTGTAAGCAGTGTGAGACATGTTTTACTACTGTAAACATAGCCAAAACAAGTCACTCCAAAATCAATCTAAAATCAACACAAGTCTGAAAAATTGTTAGGCCTACTTGATACTTAACTAGTAATACTGGCGTTTTATACTGATAAATTAGGTATTTTTGTAGGTCCAAAGCTATATATATTGTATACCTTGTAGTATGTAGGTCTGATTCTATCCTCTCATTTTATCAATGTAAACCAATTGAATGTTTCAGTATAAATCTTACAAATGTTTTTTTTATTTATCTTTATTTGTAAAATAAATATTATAAAATAGGTAACATGCTTAACAATATATGATTCTGCAAGTAAAAAATATGAAATAGGCAAGTGAAGCAGCTCACTGACATTTGGAGCAATACAGGTTCTTCTTCAGGGTGTCCACAAAAAAATTGTCATTAATTTCCATGACTTTCCATGACTACCCATGACCATTTACCATTGATTTCCATGACTCACGAACTTTACATGCAAATTATAATATAACATACACACACAAATAATACTGCCTGGACATGTTATTTTGCAGAAAATAATGAAATATGTAATAACAGATAACAATGGAGTACAATAGGTACAACAATGAACTAAAACAAACCGAAAACTCATAAAATAATACAACTGTAATAAATTGAATTGTCGAACATTTGTGAAAAATCCTGAAAAATGGTACAACAGTCGGGGTTGCGGCCAACTACAGCATTGAATGGTCCCCTCAAATCCATCCATAATTGGAAATTTCCATGACTTTCCATGACTTCTTGCCTATTTCCCTGACTTTCAATGACCAAATTTTTTTTCCATGACTTTCCATGACTATCCCTGACTTTCCAGAATGTGGACACCCTGTTCTTAAATATAATTGAAATTAAATATCTTTCACAATACATATATGTCATTTATGTATAGATAGGCTTAATACCTCATCAACAAAAATTTGCATTACACAAATGTGGTAAATTTAATTATTGTTATTTCACTTTATTGACAAGTATGGATAGAAAAATGCCGTATTGCTTTCAATTGAGTTGCATCGATTCAAATTGAAAATCTTTTGAATCAAATCGAAAAAATTTTTCTGCTTCGCACACCCACTTACTGCCAAAGTCAACAGATTTTCTAGAACCATGATATTTTTAGGCCTATATAAAAATATCCAAATCTACAAATATTGTAGACCTTAGACCTCAAAACATAATATAAAGTAGTTTAATTAGTCATTTACTTGCGGAAAGCCATTGGAGCGACAGAGTCATAAAGCTGGAAGAGGTCTGGATTGTTTGGTCGAAAATGCATCAGCATGGCAGGGTCTAACATCTGTGCAACTGAGGGGAAACTGAAGCACATCTTGTCCAAGTTGTTGTCTGCTACTAGAGGGTTGTTGTTGTTGAAGCCCATCTCCATAACGTTCATCATTTCTCGTTGGGACATCATTCCATTTGGCGATTGCTACAAAAACAAAATATAATCATAACCAAATAATACAGGCATATGATTGGTTTGGCAAAATATTAAGCTAGGAACACAGGATTCATCCTTAACTAATCTATCACCCTTCTTCTGTTATTTTTCTTCTGTCTGACTTATTTTGAAATTTTTTCTAATTTCAAATTTCAAATTTAAAATATTTTGGTTAGTTAGTCCCAAAATGGTGGTAGTTACAGACCCCGAAATTCTACAAACCAAGCAATGTTTTTATTTGAAAGTCATGAGGGCAATTCAGACAGTAGGGAACATTTTTGGAGCACGCATTAACGAGTACAGACGTGTTTGCCTTTTCAGTAACTATCACGTGAAATGGTCTTTAATACAGGGTTGGGCAGGGAAATATCCCTACTTTAAAGATTGCACTGTGAGTAGTGGGAATGTGCTGGAGTATTAGTCTCAAATTATTCTGTTGCTTAGGGATTTTTTAGAAATATTACTTTCAGTACAGTAGTAGACATGGTTTTTAGAGTGAGCAATGTGCTTTTGCACTCGAGATGTATTTTTTTGAAAAATCTGTCTATTGTTGCTGTGCAGCAGCTAGCATGCGCTGCGAACTTGTTATCGGATGGCCTGCCGCAAAGCTGTTACATTTTTGTGTGGGTGAAGGACCTCCGTGTATGTGGTGGTGTATTGCGAAGGATATTTGGAGCTCAAAGAACCAAATATCCTTGTTCTTTGATTGGATTCTCTTATTGTGTAAAACAAATTGCTAAGAAGTGATAAAATATAAATCTCGCAATAATGCAATTGGGGTGTTTGTAGCAAATATTTTTAGGCTTACAATATTATTAATAAAATAATACTTCAATCACTGATTGTCATGTCATTTTTTCACTATCACACTGTAACTTATGTTCCTTTCTTAACATTAAAAAAACAGAAAATTTCCAAGTAAACTAAAATATTGGTTTTGTAATACTGTTATTCACAAGATTAAGTGACGCTAATCCTGGGATTTAATGGAATAAAAAAACAGATGGGATCCCAGTATTGAGACTTCTCATTACCGGCCAGATTTTAATCTAGCAGACTCGCCATTCAGGTGGCAGAAGATGGTGCCTACCGTAATACAGATGTATAATAGTTTAAACAACATAATGACTCAGTTGGGATTGTGCATACCTGTACAGGAAGGATTTTATTCCTTGGAAAACCTATTGGTGAATATTTTCCTGGTGGCGGAGTAAACAAGTCTATTTTTGGTGACTTCAGCATGCCATCACTCATCATCTCCAAGCCTTTCACATTTTTGTCTGGCATCATTGCTTTGTTGAAAATGTCTGTCATGTTTTTGTTGGTCCTGTTATCTTGCAACATTTTCACAAAATTATTGTCAATTCCTTCGATTCTTGTGAAAGCGTTATCTGGTGGTTTTGAGAAGCCGTTATCCATGATTGGTAGTTTAATAAAATGGTTTTCGTACCCATTTTCAATCAAACCAACAGAAGGGGGTTGCTCATCTACCTGTAACCAAGTCATACCTAAATTACTAGATAGCGAGAAACATAGGAGCAACATGTTTAATTTTTAAGTAAACCTTAAAAGGCTACATGTTCAACTAATTTATTCAAACAAAATATTCAAAAGTTTTAAAAATCAACCTTGTAAGTGATTAGATTTGTAGGGTGAGCACTGAATATGTGAGGTGTTTAGTCAAACAAATAGAAATTTGAAGAATAAGCCAGCATTGCAATCTGCTTCCCTCTATTGTCTTTGTATCAGCTCATGTCTTTGTTTGTATCATTTGTCATGTATTAGAATATATTATACTCTACAAATATAGAACAAATTACACTTAATTCTTATCGATACAATGATAGGCAGTAAATAAATTACTCCAGGAGAAAGATATAAATTAGACTATAGGTGTGCAAGCCAAACCTAGGCTTAAAGCTTGATGTTATCTATCCCATGTGGACAGGCGAATTTTAGGTTAAAAGAGACCAGAAACATATTTAAACTAAAAATAATGACAATAACTTAAGTACAAGTGTGTGTTTTAGATACCTTGTTGAGCACAGGAACTGAGTCATTTAGAAGAGATTCCAGGTTGACACTTTGCTTATTCTGAATATAGTTGTACATTTGTTGCTCATTTGGTAGATCGTTACCAAAGAGAGAGGTCACTGAAACAGTAATGTATAATGATATATACCCTAACTACTGAATTGGCTAATAAAAAAAAAATGCCAGGAACACTTTTTATTCAACGTATAAAATTACCTATCAAACAACTAAGTTCAAACGGATTGATGATTAAAACGCTGGAAAATCATGATTTTGATATATACAGGCGAGGAAAAATTAGGCATACTCTGACAGCTTGGCCTTATTTTGCATGGCCTATTCAACTAAAAAAACAATTTTTCAGCTACACATAAGATCTACCACTTACTTGCACAATAGATATACGAGGCGTGTTTTTAAGTAAGTACTGTTGTTACATTAAGAAAAACAGTGCTAAGATATCTCATAGTTTAGTTTTACATGAAAGCCAGTACACCTTAATCTACTTTCTGTGATGTGTAGCTCAATTTAATGTTGCAAATTTATCAATGTGAATCATATGACGATCTCTATGTAACACATAAATTCTGTCAATACTGAAGCACTTGCATAATGTTGTACCAGTTTTTGGAGACCCTCCTTATAGAAGTATACTGCTTGACTTGAAACCAAAGCATCACAACATTTTGACTTCGCCATCGTCTTGAAGACGCTGACTGCCCAAGCGATCCTTCAAGTGTAGGAACGTAGTCACTGGGTGCCAGATCAGGGCTGTATGGAGGATGATCTAGAGTTTCCCATCAAAAAGATGTGATGAGATCATTGGTCTGATTCGCCACTAGCAGACCGGTAATGTCAAGCAGCAAAACGATGCCATCGCTCAACTTGCCACGTCTTTTGTTCTGGATTGAGCAGCACAGATTGTGGAATGTCTCACAGTAAGCTGCTGCATTGCGTCTCATTAGGAGGCAGAAATTCCACAAGCAATAATCCGTTTCTGTCCAAAAAACTGTGCACATGATTATCCAGGCTGAAATTGTTTGCAAACTGAACATGTATCTGAGTGAATGTGAATGCCGCCATTCCATGGACTGTTGCTTTGATTCTGGTGTGACATAGGCCACCCATATCATCACCGTTGTTGTGGTACTGCTCTACGCAAGTCAATGCACTGCCCAAACATGTGATTCGTGCACATCCCTCAACATTTTCGGTACCCAATGTGTGCACAATTTTCGGTAATTTAAGTGCTCAGTCACAGAACACTTTACGAGAAACATTAGGAATATCATCCTGTAAGGAGGAAATTGTAAAGCATCGGTTTTCTCTCATCTTATAGTCCACTTCCTGCACTAAATTTCAATAACCTATGGACGTCCACTTGCTTGGCCCTTTAAATGCTCTCACCCACTTTCTTACTGTTCCATTACTTATAATGTTTTCTCCGTAAACTGTACAGATCTCACAATGAATATCGATCATAGACATTTTATAACAGCCAGTAAATCACAGTCGGCAGGACTCACACTCAGTACATAACGTAATCAAGGAAGAATCAGACCTACTGCGCATGCAAGTACGTGGACTGCAACGGCAGGGTGAAAAACAGTACCGGTAGGCTACTTACTTAAAAAACACACCCTGTAGGTCACAATTTTTTTTGTATTGAGAAGCTTTTAATGATGTGGTAAATTAACTAATATAATAGTCTGTAATACCTGGGTCCAAATCAGGGGAGTTGGTGGTGAACAGACTTTCACTGTGTACCTTCAGATCTTCTCCCATATGGAAGCCCTGTAGTAAACATTGAGATTAGTGAGAGTGGAAACTATAGTTCGGCAGCTTAGAAAGCGACCTCCTCCAGCATTGGTTTAGCATTAGCGCGCAGGTCGTTTTCTAAGCGGCCGACCTATAGTGTTAATATAACAGTATGACATAACAACAATAGAAATCAGCGACTGCCTTCAAGAAAAGTAACTAGAGGCCTGCTTGTTAGTTGTACCAATTTAGTCAAATACCCTATTGCCTGAATAATACCATAGACAAGGCAACACAAGTAGACTCCTCATCCCATTGTAAATTTTGAAGCTTGTTTTTTGTGTCTAGTTCATGTACGTCCACACTGATCGCTAGTGTAGACAACATTTTGTTTCTATTATTTTAGGGTTATTTTCATGATTTGTGCTTTACTATTTGGTTATATAGCTAGGAGACCAGTTATTGTTTATGATTATATCGTTTTATTAGGTTAAACGAGGTTTTAAATGACTGCAATAACAAGAAACAAATTGTAAACAAAACATAACCTCTATAGTTGGACGTACAGAACTAACAATAAAATTGGCTTCAGCTGTTCCATTAGGGCCCGGTTTCCCCAAAATGGTGTAAACTACGTTTATAATAAACTAGTTTATTTTTAAACTCCGTTTAAAATGTGTGTTCGGTTTCTCCAACATTTTACTGGCTTCGTTTAAGATAAACGGCAATTCAAGCGGTTGGCAATCCTGAATGTGTATTTGTAAGGAATTTTCGGTGGGCTTTGGGCTAGTGTTTCCTACAACCACCACAACGCTACGCTACAACTCAGTAGAGCAGACAGAGACAGCAAAATGCGAATGCAGCTAGAATAACATCACTGTTTAGGGTTATGTTATCAAGTTATTATAAGTTGTTGCTAAATTCAGATTCATTCCATTTATTGAAATGGTAAATTCTGTCCCTTATTTTAGTAGGCTCTCTTGTTCTAGGTACTAAAGTGTCATAATCTTTATCTTCTACTGCTTCTAAAATGTCTATTAACTCTTCCGCTTGAGTTAAGGGGCAAGTACTGCAATCAAAGTAGCCTAACTTGAAATAAAATCAAATGTAAAAAAAGAACTTAATAAAAACAATAAATTACAATATAAATAAAACTTAACTTATACGCTAGCCCTAAACCAAGCATATTTTCGTCCAAAAGAATTTGTAGTTGCTTCAATTACAGTATTATTGTTTTAACCCCTACGTTTTGTTTTGATTTGAGGTTATGTTACTGTTGTAATTTACTAATTTGAACTCAGTTTATTTTATCCCCGGTAGTTAAACCAAGTCGAGAGGTGGTTTAGTTTGAACTTAGATTAGTACCTAGTTTAAATTTGGGGAAACACAAATAAAAGTTAAACTAAGTTTAAATCGCCGTTTAACTTAAAACTAAGTTTAAATGAGTTGGGGAAACCGGGCCTTAGATGACTAATCTACTAAGGGAGTATGTATTATCTATGATAATACGTTTTTATTCCTGCAGTGATTTTAAGCTAGGATTACAGTTTTCAATCATAACAAACAATACATTAAGGGTGTGCTCTACCTCAGCTCGTAAATCTCACTTCAGTTGCTATGTTGCACCATTGGACAGCGCCGCGAGAAGCGCTTGCAGAGGTTTCCAAGAGATTCCTGTTTATGAATTAACCAATAATGATAGCTACGCGGCTTATAGGTCTAAACGGCTTATAGTAGTTTAAAGACCAATCTATAGTTCTGCGTTTTTCAAATAACGTTTTTTAATAAGTTAGGGCTAGTTGAAAAGACCTTTTTCTGGTCCTACATAACAAATTTAGAAGGTGTGTATTAAAAATAATTGAAATAATGAAACGCAGAACTATAGAAAATGTGATCCTCTTTAATATGAGACCTTAACTTTGATTCTACCTTCAATGTAGCAGGTGAAAACAGATATCTTGCAAACCCTTGCATTCGGTGGCGTGTCAGGGGTAAAGCGCGCCCTTAAAACGTGAAGTAGACTAAGAAATTTATGAGAAGTAGTATGTGCTTGAGCTCATAATTTAATATTTAATTTACAACAATGTTAAATCAGAATATAACTTACATTTGCATGGGCAGGAGGGTGATTGTCTCCAATGTTCAGTAAGCTCATACCATAATCAAGCTGAAACAATATTCTTCCATTAGACATAAAGTAATTGATCTCTTGTCAATATTTGATTATCTGGGCAGTATTATTTTTGCATGCAATTTGTCATGTAGTCCTACGCCCTTTTTAAAAATTTGGCGGTACAAACAGTGAGTGTTAGTTAGCCTACACAAAATTAATGCCCCTTACTGGTCCTATGTTTGTGTGGTGCCTTGATTAAAGGTAGCAAGTTGAGAAATCGTGGAACCTCAATTTAACAAATTTAAAGAAATTAAGAAATATATGTACTTACTTTATATAGAGGTATATTCTTAAAAAAAAAGGTTCATTAAAATAAGGTTGAATTTGGCTGAAATTTGTAAAGCTTTGTATGGTAATGTATAAAGCAATATAAAGTTACTAAACCTTAAAGCACTTAATCCGATTTGTTGTAATTCTCCGACCTCTATTTAAAGAACTATCTAGGTAGGGTTCTAGGCCCATACATAGCCCATATGTTGTACTGGTACGATGCTATAGTTTTGTATACAATCCTTATTTATGGAAGATAACAATACAGTAATAGAATAGTATTGAAGCTACAGGCAGCACAAGAGGTTTAGCCATGAAACTAAAATAGTAGTATTAAAAGGTGTGATCAACAACACAAATTATGTATAAAAAAAAATGTGTATATATCGCAAATAGAAGCTACTGTTACATGATATAATATGAACACTGTGATAGATGTGCATCAACTGATACTGCGCATGGGAATTGAGTAACTGAAAACTTCCCTGTCACGACAGCTTAAATATGTAATACAGGGCTCGGGAGGATAGAAATCCGTTATATGGAGGTTTGTTATATAAGGGTTTTGTAATTTAGATATTCGTTTAACAGGGGTAGGTAAATTACTGATGAAACTACTAAATAAATATTCATTATACGAGGGTTGTTTTTTTTTCAACCTCCGATAGGCTATGAACAAAAGACAAGTTCATTTAAAACATTAAATTTATTACCAAAAGTTTGGTCCATTTATGGTTACTTTTTGACATAATCACCAAAGAGATTGAGACATTTGCTATATATGTGCACCAGCTTTTTAATACCCTCTTCAAGAAAAGTGGCCGCCAGTACATTCAAAAAACAAAAAAAATTAAAAAAAACAAAACATGTCAAAAAAATTAAAAAATGTAGAAAAAATAAAAAAAGGACTTTAAAATTTCTAGAAATTCAGTAAACAAAGCAATAATGGTGAATCTGTGATTTATTTAACCATCCTGTCAAACTGTTGAACCAAGTCATCTGAAACGACAGTAATGAGCTGGTTCAACAAGTTGGCAGAATGGTTAAATAAACCACAGATTCACCATTATTGATTTGTTTACTGAATTTCTAGACATTTTAAAGTCCTTTTTTTATTTTTTATTGATTTTTTAATTTTTTTGACATTTTTTTGTTTTTTGAATTTTTTTTAATGTACTGGCGGCCACTTTTCTTGAAGAGGGTATTAAAAAGCTGGTGCACAGATATAGCAAATGTCTCAATCTCTTTGGTGATTATGTCAAAAAGTAACCATAAATGGACCAAACTTTTGGTAATAAATTTAATGTTTTATATGAACTTGTCTTTTGTTCATAGCCTATCGGAGGTTGAAAAAAAAAAACAACCCTTGTACAATATAGAGTTTTATACTTATTTTGTTCACTATAAAGGGTGATCAACTGAGGAGGCCACCATTGGGATATCGGAAACAATAAGAATTAGAGAAAACTTTAAATGGGGAACATTCGTTTATTTTTTTGGCAGATTAAAATATTAATTTAGTTTTTCAACATTCAGCCGCCATTTTCCAATATGGTGGCCAACTTTGAAATTTCTTATGGAACACTCTATATTTTATCTTGTTTTCAGATAGAAAATGTAATTTAGGCCTAAAAACATTTTCATTTTTTCTTAGGCTGTAACTCCTAAACGAGTAGCTTTAGAGAAAAAAATGTCAAGATTAAAAACGTTTTTAGGCCTACATTGCATTTTCTATTTGAATTAGTGATGGGCGGATCCAAGAAAATGTCGGTACCGGATCCGGATCCGGATCTTGAAAAATTCGGGTCCGGATCTTCGGATCTTCGGATCCGGATCCAGATACACACTGTCATAAGGGCGGGTTAAAAAAAAACGTAATTAACAGAATGCCAATTTAAATCATACTGTTTAAAAATAAATCGGTAATGTTTAAAGGTTAATATATCTTATACACTGAGACATGGCCTTGCCATATAAGTTATTTGCATCGAGAGAAACACTGAGTCATGGCCTTGCCATTTAAGTTATTTGCATCTAAAAACATCGAGACATGGCCTAGCCATATAAGTTATTTGCATCTAGAGACAAACATCGAGACATGGCCTAGCCATATAAGTTATTTGCATCTAGAGACAAACATCGAGACATGGCCTAGCCATATAAGTTATTTGCATCTGAGACAAACATCGAGACATGGCCTAGCCATATAAGTTATTTGCATCTAGAGACAAACATCGAGACATGGCCTAGCCATATAAGTTATTTGCATCTGAGACAAACATCGAGACATGGCCTAGCCATATAAGTTATTTGCATCTAGAGACAAACATCGAGACATGGCCTAGCTATATAAGTTATTTGCATCTGAGACAAACATCGAGACATGGCCTAGCCATAAAAGTTATTTGCATCTAGAGACAAACATCGAGACATGGCCTAGCCATATAAGTTATTTGCATCTGAGACAAACATCGAGACATGGCCTAGCCATATAAGTTATTTGCATCTGAGACAAACATCGAGACATGGCCTAGCCATATAAGTTATTTGCATCTAGAGACAAACATCGAGACATGGCCTAGCCATATAAGTTATTTGCATCTAGAGACAAACATCGAGACATGGCCTAGCCATATAAGTTATTTGCATCTGAGACAAACATCGAGACATGGCCTAGCCATATAAGTTATTTGCATCTAGAGACAAACATCGAGACATGGCCTAGCCATATAAGTTATTTGCATCTGAGACAAAAATTGAGACATGGCCTAGCCATATAAGTTATTTGCATCTAGAGACAAACATCGAGACATGGCCTAGCCATATAAGTTATTTGCATCTAGAGACAAACATTGAGACATGGCCTAGCCATATAAGTTGTTTGCATCAAGAGACAAACACTCGGGGGAAAAACGGTCTTGTACATGGATACAGACAGCTTTGTGTTAGTAAACAAATCGGGGTTGTACAGTGATACAGACTGCTTTGTGTTGGTAAAAAAATCGGTGTTGTACAGTGATACAAACTGCTTTGTGTTGGTAAAAAAATCGGGGTTGTACAGAGATACAAACTGCTTTGTGTTAGTAAACAAATCGGGGGAAAATCGGTCTCTTACATGGATACAGATAGCTTTATTTTAGTAAACAAATCGGAGCTGTACAGGGATACAGCAGCTTTATTTTAGTAAACAAATCGGGGTTGTACAGTGATACAGACAGCTTTATTTTAGTAAACAAATCGGGTTTGTACAGTGATACAGACAACTTTATGTTAGTAAAAAAATCGGGGTTGTACAGTGATACAGATAGCTTTATGTTAGTAAACAAATCGGGGTTGTACAGTGATACAGACAGCTTTGTGTTAGTAAAATAATCGGGGTTGTACAGTGATACAGACTGCTTTGTGTTGGTAAAAAAATCGGGGCTGTACAGTGATACAGACAGCTTTGTGTTAGGATAAAAATCGGGAAAATTTTTTAAAAAATCGGATCCATCAAAACCGGATCCAGCCCAAGATCCGGAATTTTTTGGATCCGGTCCGGTGCCGGTTCTAGCTTGGATCCGGCGGATCCGGTAGTCCGATATCCGGGATCCGACCATCACTAATTTGAATACATGTTTAAATATCGGGTGCTCCATAAGAAATTTCAAATTTGGCCACCATATTGGAAAATGGCTTAAAAAACTGAATTCATATTTTTTACTGCCTCAAAAAATAAAGGAATGTTCCCCATTTAAAATTTTCTTTAATTCTTACCTTTTCCGATATCCCAATGGTAGCCTCCTTGAGTTGATCATAGGGGACACATTATCTATTGAGTGATGTGGCGTTTGCAGGCGTATTGCAAAATACATTGCTATATAGAGTAATTTGTTACATGGAGGTTTGAGGTTCTACTGTATTACCAGTTGTAAACAATATTTTTTTTTTTAATGTTGGGTTGGTAAAGTTAAAGAAATAAACTTGCAAACATTAGGCCTACTTGATATTGTAACAATCAATATTGTTCTAAAATGTCAGAGGACTTAATATTTACACGCACCAAAATGACAGAATGTACAGACTGACAGTTACTAAAACTTACATAAGCAGATGACCGAGGCAGGGGAGGTGGGGGTTTGTTGATTGGAGGAGGGACCCAACTGCTCATGTTATGTAGAGGGGAGAAGCCATCTTCCACACTATGATGTCTGGAAAACAAGTTACAGATGAAAAATAATTGACACACTTTACGTTCAGTCAATGAACCAAATTTGGTTAATCTACATTAACATATGTATTTTTACTAACACATTTTAAATACTGAATTCCAGCCTAACCAGTTTAAGAATAGAAATGGATGTAGAATAGTTCAATTGAGCCACCGACATCGCTGATGTAAATTACTGATTTATGTTGAATATATCAACTTTATAAACAAGTCAAACTGATAGGACGACTTATAAATTGTAAGCTAAAGCATATTTTACGTCACATCAACTATCTTAGTACGAAAAACTAAGTGAAAAAATAATAGAACAAAGCACCATGATAGCACACTAACATGGTGAATGGTAAATGAAAAAAATAAAATAAAAACATTAATAGAAAATATATTAACTTTAATTCCAGAAAAATTATAACAAGGCTAAGGGGCTTACGAACATTATAAAATTGTTTACCGAGTGGTTAGTTAACACGATAAAGAACTAGAAAATTAAATTATTAGCAAATTCTGCAAAAGACATGCACTGTTATTATTTTGTAAGCGGTTACTAGATAAAACTCATAAAAATATTCTATTATTTATAAATGATTTAGGCTAAATGAATTCTAATAACTAATTTATTTCCAAACAATAAAAATCCACAAAATAGCACAAAATTATTGATATGTACAATAACCTTTCTACTGGTAAATGTTGTTGGACTTTAAAAACTAATTGAAAGGTTCAGTAAGAAACTTACTTATTTGGTAAACTACAATCGTCTTCCAGAAGTTTGGAAACATAATCGTTCATCACTGAGGCTTGAGCAATAGACTCGGAGCTCTCCCCATTTGACTGCTCGTTCAGCTAAAAGTGAAAACATGTTTTGTTAATGCTACCTATATTTAGGATGATTAGCCTACAACTACAATAGCCTACACAGCATTGATAGGGGAACGTTCTTACAACAATGAAAATTTGGACCAGTGATTTCTGTCTACTTAAATGGATGTTGGCACTTTCATAAAGATAATTCAGTTGGCCTAAATTTGGACATAATTCTATTCAAGTAGGTTTATTCTTTACCCACTAAATTTAACATAGATAGGCCTAACGAACTCAGTTTAGTTCACTCAGTATTAGTTTGACTGCCATCGGAAACCAAGTGTTACTGTAGGCCTCTTACTTAATGTCTTTCCCAAACATTATTATGCTAATTTCTAATTTAGGACATTAAACTGATGCTGGAATATATTTTTTTATTTCACTAGCCTATAATAATTTTGTCTAGATCCTTTTATGTCTTTTATCATACAAAACCAACATAAAAGCAACATACTCCTGCCGCAGCAAACCTGCAGACTAAGAAAATTTCCATTCACCTGATTGGATTTACACTAAAATGTTTACTTAAAAATATCACATTTATTCCCTATTTAAATAGAATTAGTTTAACAAGTACTTAGGTTTGCTGCAACAGGGAGGGTAAAGTTTAGTACAGTAAACCCCCTCTTAACCGACCTCGTATTAACCGATAATCGGATTATCCGCCTTTGATCGTAAAATAATACAGTTTGTTTTAACCGACCTTGATTTGAGAGCAGCTCGGTTTAACCGCCGCTTTCTAGGAATCTCGGCATTTCCGCTCCCACGCTGGGCGATGAGAACTGAACCATACGCTTATCTCCACAGGATATGACTAACAATAAGTTATTTTGTGATGATCACAAAAAATATAGCATAGCCTATTGTCAGTTTGTCATCATCGTTCGTAGCTCGAGCACATCTGATCTGATTTGTTATCTGTGTGGCAAATTTATAACATCATAAAGTGCGTTACGATTTTGAGAACTGATTATCTTATCGCTGGAGTAAACAAACAACGCAACTTGTAGGGAGGGCAGGGAAGGGGTGTTAACAACTCCAAGGTCAAGATAGTTTTTGTGCCTCGAGCCTCCAGTGAGAGGCTATAAATAAACGTCCTGTCTTGTAACAAAATGGTCGCTTGTATCTTTAATGACGACAAAAGGTTCTTTACTGTATTACGATGTATTTGGAAAGCATTAATTAATACATTACAGTAGTAAAGTTATTACAATAGGAATTTTATTGACTCTTGCCTAGTATTATAATATATTCATTGAAAGTAGGCCTATTTGACTTAACCGTGTTTTGTGTTTATTTGTGACATTTCTATCAATATGAAAAAGGAGATAAGAGTAGTTTATTTTATAAATAATGCAAGTATGACTTCAAAATAATGATTATATAATTCCAAATGAATAGCACTTTATTATGTTATGATTTTAGGGATTGCCCGTTTTATCCGACCTTTTGAATCATCCGACCTAGGTCCGGTCCCATTAGGGTCGGTTAAGAGGGGGTCTACTGTAGTAAATAAATGCATCTTCCAAATTTGATCAAAATATGTTCATAAACAAGCAAACTATAACAGTAATTTTAAATTAAAATTTTTTAGAATTTTCTCCGTAACTATTAGGCACATAATAACGCTTCAATATACTAAATTATTAGTTTTCTTAAGCTTTACAAAATGGTTTGAAAGAAATTGCTAAATTTTATGTTTTTTTGGTCAAAAATGGGTAATAGCCTAACCAATTTTTACCCCATAAAACACCCCATAAATCCCGGGTTCCCATAATCCAATCATGCTGGTTCGCAAACTCATTCGAATAAATGTAGGTTTACACGTTTATACCAAATTTTGTCAAAATCAGATCATTTTTGCTTGAGTTATCGTTCCAACGGACACACACACACATATATATATAATATGTGACTTTGACTTTGAATATACTAGGTGTACAATGCAGTTGTCTACTTGCAATATTGAGCGGAGCCAGCATATTAATTCAATGTCAATGATATATTTGGTTCGCATTTTAAATAGCATGCATATTTGCAGTAGGTATCCGAAGTCAATCATAAGTCCCAGGATTAAGTGAATGAATTATCTATTTGCAGGAACCATATTCTATGTTTCATCTGGTTCTCATAAATTAAATGTCTACTTGCAGTATCCAATGCCAATTATATATTTGGTTTGCATAAATGGAATGCCTATTTATAGATTCTAAAGTCAATGGTACGTCTGGTTCTCGTAGACGGATTGTTTACTTGTAGTATCCAAACTCAATGGTAGAGTACATGTAAATGAATAGTCTACTTGCAGTATCCTAAATCAATGGTCCATTTATTTTGTTCACATAAATAATATGCCTAGTTAGTAATTGCAGTATCCGAAGTTAATGGTAGGCTTAGGCCTACTTGCTTCACTTATATGGGATGTCTATGTGCAGTATTCAAAGGCAATGATACGTCGGGTTCACGTCAAGGAATTGTCTAATTGCAGTATCGAAACTATGAGTGTTATATTTGGTTCACATTAATGTAGTAGACTGCAAATAGGAATTGCAGTGCAGATTCAAAGTCTACATTAATAGTCCAGGCAAATTAGATCAAATATAGGGTGTGCTCCCCAAAAAATCGTCTAAAGCTGGAAAGTGTTTTAATACCTTTTGGGGGTCCCGAATAAGACTCCTGTGAGTTTGCGACGGATTCTGACGTCTGCTTAAGTTTTGGGAGTCGAAAAACTATGAAAATTTTGCACTTTTTTCAGTTTTTCGCTTATAACTCCTAAATAACGAATCCTAAGGAAGATGTTGTTCAAAGGTGTCTTTTAGTGCATTGAATTCCGCGTCGATTGATGTTAAATACGTCAAAATCGGCCGAGCCGTTTAGCCGCTGTAGCTTTTCAAAGTTGGGATATTTTCATCAACATGGCTAAAAGGTTGATTATTTGACCAGTTTTCGGCTTAAAACTCCTAAACGACGCATGCTATACAAAAATGCACCTGTAGTTAGTTTGGAAAACACAAAATTCTGCGTATAATGTTTTTTTATTAATCAATAACGGCAATTGATTGTTACTTACTTTGTATGGACGCCATTTCACTGAAAAAAAGTATTAAGGTTAAAGTTGAGAAATTTTGATAAAATTGGTAACAACATAGATCCTGTCCTTAAATGGATTATGAATTATTAGATAGTGGTTTATTCCATGATGGTCATCTAGAGGTTTATCTAATAAGGTGTGACGAGAGTAACACCCCCTATGTAATTTTAAGTCTAATATTGTTGTCTGAGGTTCCGAAAATTCTAGGATTCATCCCAACCACCCATTATATACGATCTATCCCTGTATTCATCTTTCAGTTTTTGGCTTACATCTTCTAACACATGCTATAGAAAAAATGTTCCTGTAGTTAGTTTGAAGAGCATAAACGTCTGCGTAGAATGTTTTCCAATTCATTAAGATCGGCTTCACCATTTAACCGCTATTGATTGTTAACACTAGATCAGATGCTTGTCAAGTTTAAAATCTTACCATTGAAATCTGGCAAACAACCGGCCTAATTACAAAAAAACATAGGAGATATGGCAGTGAATCTATCCACTAGTGTGACGTCATGGATCGTGCAGCATGGCCAATGAACAAGTAAGTGCAAGTAAGTGCTCATGAGAGCAACATCTTACTGTGGAGAGCTTTTTCCGAGATAGGGGAATCAATGATGTGGATCTAGCCCGATGGTTCGCTGGCAGGCCCATCGCAGTGAATGCTACCCATCAAGTTAAGGTATATTGTGGGATCACCTCTTCAACATATTATCAGCAAGTTGACAATATAAACTCCACGGATACGGTGGGATCAAAAAGAAATTCATCAAATAGTTCCAGTGTCATGACCCATTTACTGAAAATTGTTCGCTCATGTCAATCAGCTCAGCAGTTATCCCATACGATAGCATCAACGCGAGATATGTATAAAGCATAATGGAAAGGCGCAGCTTGCAAGAAAATCGTAAATAGGCAAGCCTATAATGACCATAAACTGTGCAGAATAAAAGGAAGTGGTGACATTAATCGCGAGCTGTGATGGCAACAGCAAAGGTTAAAGAAGAATCTGCCCCCTCAGTCAACACGTGATATTCCACATTAAATCCAAGCCTCAATTTGAATCATACTTTGGATTAAAAATAGGTCCGTACCCACTAGCGCAGTTTGATGAAGAAAGCGTGATGTAGAAGAGTCGAAAATCTAACTATTCATGTAGCCTAAAACTACTCATGCTGTATACTTCAATCAATGTGGATCTCACTGTGTTCTGACGGGTTACAACGCTTGGCGAAGTTGCAGAAGCAGGTTGGCCCTATACATGGTTGGGAGCAGATAATATCCAAATCAAGTGAGGGTTGGTCTCTTCTAGAGGACACTTTCAACTAATTTTGACTTTGATTCTAACAAAAGGGGCTGCTCATCCACCAATCCCTTAGAGCAAATTTAAAATTGTACTTCAGAGAGATAGGTATGGAAAATTAACGGCAATGGGTTAACTCCCGTCACTACGGCTAATCCACCGGTTCGACAAGAACTTCTCAACTCCGTCTACCTATCTCGACCATCGTGTACATGTTAAAAAGGTTTACATTTTCTCGCTCCATATGAAATGCAGACATATAATGCATTACTGTACTTGCAAGGGGCACGAATTCGATATCTGACGAAAAATATGGTACCGAATGTCACCATTTGTGGCAAGACCAATAAGAGCAAAGAATGAATCCGTATTCTTAAGATTCCAATGATGAGAAGTAGAAAAGTTATATGGTAAAATCTACGAAAATCCCAATCTTTTTTTAATAGGCTAAATACATAGTAAAACTATGTACATCCGTCCCATTATCATCTTTCGTTTATTAAGCTAAAAAATAACATTTTTGCTATATTTAATAAAATCTTTCTCGTTGTAATGTCTTATTATATATTAGAATCGCTTAACATCATTC